GAGAACATTTCAAATGAGTTGTTTATAGATGAATTTCTTATCCATAGGTCAATACCAACAGTGTGAAGGGAGAGCCCAAATCAAGAAGATACTAGGGGAAAAGCCACTTCTGCCTCTTGCCTCTTGCGTCCCCTCTCCTTCCTCTCTCTCAGGTGTCCTTTAGTTTTGGTGGTATAGTTTTGCAGGGGTCCAAGCATTTGTTTGTTTTCCTATCAGTAGTTTTAAGAGACCAGGAGACTAATGTTTCTACCTGAGTAAGGACGAACTCTTTTGAATAAAGTATACATATAAATAATGCTTGTTAAATTGTAGAGGGAGAAGGGGGGAGGGAAGAAGCCTTATTCATCCTTTGGCTTAGTCCTTGGATCTGACCCACAGGATCCTCATCAAATCTTTGAAATGTGGTGAAGGAAAAAAAAAATATTGCTTCTACCTGGCTGCATCTGCCCTATGCCAGAGGAAGAGATAACTTTGTTAACCTTCCTTGGGCACGAACCTTTTTGCACATAACAGTTTCTAAAATACTTTGAGTCTAGTCTATTACCAAGCAATAGAGAGCCCTATATTTCATTGTCACACTGTACTCTAATGATAATACTTTAGACTCATCTCTGTTCCCTGAATGAATGTTACTTCTTGTTTCTCTAATCTTTGAAAAGCATTGATCTCATTCACTTGACTTGACACATAATAGATATTAAGAAAATGACTTACTGCTTGATTTGTTTTTTTCCTCTTTAAAGCTAGGTGGTCTATTCATGTATTCAGAGATGGGCAAAAAAAAAAAAAATCGGTGGTCTATTCTGTAAATTGGATCTGCTTTCCCCCTCTGCTGCTATTGTTCCTATAAACAAGATGTCCCAAGCGCTAAGATCTAAAGACCTGGGCCCTGGTTGTAGCATTAAGTTCTTGGGTGACCTTGAGCAATTTACTTACAACAGTTGCTCACTCTAATTGAATACCTAGTTACACAAATTTGTACATGCTATCTAAAAGTCACCCCCTTGGTCAATTTTTTTCATATGAATTGGTAATACATGATTAAGGCCCACATACAAATCTAGGGAATACTAGATTATATGTGTTTAAAGATGTACTACTTGAATTTAATGCCACAATCATTTGAAGACAGGAAACTAAGTTTTAGTAAAATTTCTATCTGTTGAGCTGAGGATTTAGCTCAATGGCATAAGCACCTGCCTGGCAAGCGTGTAGCTGTGAGTCTGATTCCCCGGCACCACACATACAAAAAATCAAAATTTCCATCTGTTGGGTCTACTGATTCGGAAGATAGGAAAAGGTTGCTTTATTTTTTAATTCCTACAGGGGGTATTTACCAAGCAAATTACACGCCCATTGGTCCCCTGAAAAGCCTCATCCTGTTAGCCTTTTTTCTAGTTCTTATTAATGCTGCATGCTGAATAATAAAGCTGCATTTCTTATAAAACCTATTTGTTAGGGGCTGGGGATTTAGCTCAGCGGCATAAGCGCCTGCCTTGCAAGCAGGCAGTCGTGAGTTCGATCCCTGGTACCGATAAAAAGACAAAAAAACCCTGTTTGTTTGGTTTACTCAGTGTCTCCCTTCAGCCCTACTTACATCACCCAGACCAGTAATAATGTGGAGTACTGGGAATCGTGGTTGCCATCACCAGAAATTAAATAGACAGAGTCAAAAGTGGCTTTAGGATTTAAAATGACTTGAGAACTTAAATGTATTTAAAAAAAAAAAAAAAAAGACTTCCGATGTCCAGTCCTAAGTATCATCCTAAGCTCCATCACTTCCATGCTCAAGTGCAGTGCTTCTTCTCCCCACTTTAGTCCACTATGTCAAAAAACTGCATCAAGCTTCTGTGCGAAGATCCGGTTTTTGCAGAATATATTAAATGTATCCTAATGGATGAAAGAACTTTCCTAAACAACAACATTGTCTACACATTCATGACACATTTCCTTCTAAAGGTATGTAGTATTTCAGAAACTTAAGTATGTTGTTTCCAGTTAATATGTGTTTTCATTATGTTGGCCTTTTGGAGACATTTTCATAAATCATCTTTTTCAGGTTCAAAGTCAAGTGTTTTCTGAAGCAAACTGTGCCAACTTGATCAGCACCCTAATTACAAACTTGATAAATCAGTACCAAAACCTACACTCTGACTTCACCAACCGAGTTGAAATTTCCAAAGCGAGTGCTTCCTTAAATGGGGTAAGAACTACGCAGAGTAGGCATCTACTTTAAAGCTTTCCTTAAATTAGCTCTTTTGGCTGGCCTTCGTAAATTTACTATCTTGACATTAACTTACTGTTCAAATCTAAGTCACATGGGTGAAACTTGCAGAAATGCCTTCTTATATATAGCACATACTTACATGACCTCAGAAGCTAAGAGCTAATGGCGTTGGGTATGTTGGGGCAATATTAAGAAAAACTACTTTTATTTCTGCTCATTTATATTTTTTGAAACATTTTATTAGTGCCTCTGGATCCTAAATACCAAGATAATCATCTGTTGGTTTATAAACAAGTAAAACTAGGAAATTAATTGCCTTGTGTTTCCAGTGACAGCTGTACAGGCAGTATGCTACCAAGGATACACGTTCAGTGGCAACTTCCCTAAGTAATAAGATGCTGATAACCCCGAACAGGTTAGAAAGCTGTGTGGACCCACCTGCTCAGGACCTCCTGCCTCAGAGAGAAACTTGTTTTCTGTCAGTAAACACTACTATTAAAAACAAGCTATGTGAAGAAAGCCTATTTGTGACATCTACCAGTTAGCTTCACAAATTGAGATTTCTGTTAAGACCTAAATTTCTCATTATTTGAGGCCTCATTTTAAAATTACTAACAATAAGTCCACCTAAGGTGTTTTTCTTTTGCAGGGGGGTTGCTCCTTTTTCAGTCTCAAAAAATACTATGGTTTACTTGATGGAGACACAAAATAACGCTGTTAGTGTCTTAAAACTGATGAAATACAGTAGTATCTTAACCCTATTTAGTGCTAACATTTTTCTAAAGATGCTAGAGAAACCAAGATGATTTCCTGGGAAGTAAACATCTGTATTTAACTGCAGACAGTAGTGTCAAAGTGTTGGGTTTAGAATTTGAAATGTTCTTGTCTGGGTTTTTGTAGGATCTGAGGGCACTTGCTTTGCTCCTGTCAGTTCACACTCCCAAACAATTAAATCCAGCTCTAATTCCAACTCTGCAAGAACTTCTAAGCAAATGTAGGACATGTCTACACCACAGAAACTCACTCCAAGAGCAAGAAGCCAAAGAAAGAAAAACTAAAGGTGAGTGTTTTCAAGGCTGGGGATGGGGCAATAAAATACTCTTTTAACTAACTTTATAATAACTATCTGTTCTGTTAAATCAGTGCTGAAAACAAAGATACCTTCCCAGACGCCTCAGTGTGAGCTTAGTGTAACCCCTTTTGTACAGCACCTCCCACTCTGATGTTTCTCTTCACAGATGATGAAGGGGCAACTCCTGTTAAAAGACGGCGTGTCAGCAGTGACGAGGAGCACACTGTGGACAGCTGCATCAGTGACGTGAGAACAGAAAGCAGAGAGGTCCTGACCCCAACCAGCACATCAGACAATGAGACTAGAGACTCCTCAATTATTGACCCAGGAACTGAGCAGGATCTTCCTTCTCCTGAAAATAGCTCTGTGAGAGACTACAGAGTGGACGCTCCAGCTTCATTTTCGGAAGACATGGCTAGCACCAGGTCACAGCACACAGAGGAGCAGTCCAACAACGGCAGAGTGGAGGACTGCAGAGAACTCAAAGGTCTCCACTGTTCCAAGGATTCCGCCCTGGCCGAGGAAGAATCCGAGTTCCCCTCTACTTCTCTCTCTGCAGTTCTGTCCGACTTAGCTGACTTGAGAAGCTGTGATGGCCAAGCCTTGCCTTCCCAGGACCCTGAGGCTGCTTTCCCACTCGGCTGTGGCCATCCCAGAGGACTCTTTAGTCACATGCAGCAGCATGACATATTAGATACTCTGTGTAGGACCCTTGAATCTACAATCCACGTGGTCACCAGGATATCTGGCAAAGGAAACCAAGCTGCTTCTTGACATGAGCTGTAGCATGTCTCCTTTTAAGTCCCCTACCTACCCACGCTGTTTGTATAAGTTTTGCTTATTTGTTTTTGTGCTTCAGTTTGTCCAGTGCTCTCTGCTTGAATGGCAAGATAGATTTATAGGTTTAATTCTTGGTCAGGCAGATTCCAGATGAAAAACTTGCATCTTCAGTATACTTTCTAAAGGGCAATCAGATAATGGGTATGTTTTATGTAATTAAAGTTCACGGTAGTGGCTTTCGGTTAATATGGCTGTCTGGGAGAAGCAGGGTTCCCCAGCCCTGTACAATGTAATTTAAACTTACAGCATTTTTACTGTGTATAATATGGTGTCCTCTGTGCCAGTTTTGTACCTTATAATAGAGGCAGACTGCCTCCAATCGCTGTGGTTCTTATTATCAAAATTAAGTTTACTTGTATACGGAACAACCACAAGAAATTTGATTCTGTAAAGAATCCTCTTTAGCTGTGGCCTGGCAGTATATAAATGGTGCTTTATTTAACAGAATACCTGTGGAGGAAATAAAGCACACTTGATGTAAAAATAATTGTTTTATTTTTATTGACATGACTGATTGCTATTCTGTGCACTTAATTAAACTGATTGTGATGACTTTTCATTCGTTTATATACGTTGCTTCAGTCTTGAGGAAACTTGTGAATAGGGAAAATATTTGTAATTACTCATTCTGCTCTTATTTCATTAGACTTAGTGGCGATCCAAAAGAGTAATTTACTCCCGAGGTTTCTCACTCTCCTCCATCACAAAGTGCGTAAAAGGTCCCAGGATCAACCCAAGAGGGCGAGGAGGAGTGTAACAACACAGCCAAACAGCCTACACACCAGCATGCTGCTGACCACAACATGCCACTGCTTGGCTAACGGCTACACACCTTAAGAGCACTAAAGTAAAATAAAGGAATACTATAACATGCCATTTATTTTTTGTTTTCTGGAACTTAAAAGTACAGCTGAAAGTCAGCTTGTTAGCACAAGCTTTAGCTTGAGAAACTTCAACTATTTGCACACAGATTCAATCTATTACCCAAGGAACATCTATGGGAAGTGCACTTGACATCTAATTTCAGGTTGTTTGCCGTTTTGAACTCAATGCAGAATCTAATTGGTGTCAGTGCTTTTAAATTTTGTTCATGGATCTCATCCAATATAAAATAAATTACAATTTTTTTAAGGAAGGACTAATAAAGAGGTAAACATGACACTTTCTGCTACAAAAAGTAATGTCCCTACAAAAGTTATTTCAACCATTTAGGGTGATCAGCTGCAGTAAACATTTTATTTCTTCAAAGTGCTGCTTCTGCCAACAGAATTTCATGTTCTCTTCTTTACATATAGGAACTCCTTTACAGTCCAATTGTAATTCCGTTTGCCCTAAAGTAGGCACAAAACTCAGTGCTACTGTTGCATAGTGTTCTAGAAGAAAAACAGGAGCCTTATTACTACATTAGAAAAGAAAATTTACCCGTATCAGCTTTAGTTTTCTGGACACTTAGATAGGAAAGAGACAAAGCATACCTTCTGGCCAGTTTCTACATCTCCATTTCATGACGATCTTTCTATTTGTTAACTGAAATCAAAAGGGGAAACGCCACTGAAAACATTCTGAATTGAAACCCCCAATTACTAGGAGAATCAGTGAACACAGTCCCCCATCCAGTTGACGTGCCAGTACCACTGTCCTACAGATGAGCATCCAGTAGAAAATACTGGGAGCCACAGCACAGCCAGTATCAAGGGTGAACCAACTGACATTTGGCAACACAAACCATAATGATTTCAGTGCAGAACTAGAGCAGTTTTATATCTATATAAAACCTGAAATGTCTAGAAGCAGCTGGGATTCAGACCTGTTTCTATCATAATAAGCATCTGCACAATTGAGAAACTGAAGGCTTCATCTTTATCACAGTATAGATAAAATTCGTTTACCAAAACATTTAACTTGAAAACATAACAAAAATAGCACTTTATAGAGAACGTGGACAGTCGTTACTTAAACTCTTTCCGAGGTTTCTGACCCTGCACTGCCTCGCACAGCCACCATCCCACTGCGGTTCTGTTGCCTACTAACTGCCATCCACACACACTCATCTATCACCAGATTGATGAAGGGATCAGCTCTGCCACCATTTATTTTCAATGATTCATGTCCATAAATGTTTTCAGCTTAGGAGAGTGAGCTTTCATCATGTTGTCTTTAGCCTCAGAGCTCCTTTGGAAGGATTTTAAATAACATTTTTAATTTTTCTCTACAACCAACTACAATCTCAACATTCTGTGAGCTCAGATAAAATTCCAAGTTAAAAAAAAAAAAAAAAAAAAACAGTATGGACAAAAAGAGTTATTACTCTTTTGTAAAAGAGTAATACTCTAAAAGCAGAGTTAAGTGCCAGCTTGGTTTTTTGCTTTTTGAGGTACTGCAGATTGAACCCAGGACCTTCACACTGGTATTAGATCCCTAGCCCTTTTTCAAAATTTGGAAGAGCTGGGCCTGGTGGTGCCCATGTACACGCCCAGCAGTTAGGAGGATTGTCACACATTCAAGCCCAGGCTGGGTTACATAGTTTTGGGTCAGCCTGAACTACACAGGGAGACTTGTCTCAAAAACAAAAAACCTCTCGAGTCAAGGGGTCTCACTAAGTTGCCCAGGCTGGGCTTGACTCTGTAAACGCTCCTGCATTAGTCTTCCAGTGCGGGGACTACCCCAGCTCCCAGCTTACTACTTTTAATTCCAAGATTACTTACCAGTTCTATATATTCACCAGTGATGGTCCCATCAAACATTTGGAATTTCCCTCCCTTTTCAGCTTCTAACACAGCAGGAGATTTAGAAAACTTTTGCACCAGCTAGCCAAGCAAAACACAGTAGACATGTTATTCATTACACACTATTATTACCTTTCATGTGTGTAACTGCATACATGTGTGCTGGGGATCGAATTGAGAACCTTGTGCCTTGTCATGCTAGGAAAGCCCCAAGCTAGGAAACCACTATTAAATCTCCAGCCCTGTGAAATACATACTGCAACAGTGTACTTGTTTGCTTTTATCGTAGATGTAGCTTTTGCTTATACAAAAGCTTTCTCTTTCCAGCCCACCCAGGGACGCAAAAAAAAAAGCTTTCTCTTCCTAGAGAGAGAACATGGTCCACTACCACATCCTCTAGTTGCTGATACGGCCCGCGGAGGTGCCCGTTTGGTTCCCTGAAGTTGTTTACAAGCCAGGCTTACACATTCCCAGTGACAGCACCATCCCAGAGCCCTTCAATCAAAAGCTAAATCCAGCCCCTGTAGCACGTTTCTGCCATCGTCAGCATGCAGGATCCTAGCTTAGGGAGCTACTCACGTCCTTCACAGTGAAGATGCTGTAGAGCTGCTCCACCGTTGTATCAAACAGTTCTGTCATGTGCAGAGCCACAGTGGGAATCTTTACACCCAGCGCCATTGGAGAGGCCGCCTGAATCTCAGCCAAAGATTTCAGAGCACAGTGAGCATACCAAGAGAGAATGCTGCTGGGATTTAAGTCTTCTCGATAAAACAGCATCCCAAATTCCACCCTACCCCTTCTAGACACAGGAAAACAGCAGGACAAATCTTTTTTTCTTAGTTCTACCAGTGCAGTGCTGTCTTTGGAAACAAGGCTCACTCTTCCCGGGTCTGTAGCTCTTTCCATTCCCAGGCTATGATATAAATTCCCCTAGTTCTACATGGACAGGCAAATAAGGACCAAGAGGGTGGAAGGAAAGATAAGTCCACTTAAGGCTAACAGGTTTTAATTACACCCACACTCCCGGTCCCCCAATCCCAAAGTTAAGAGAGAGCTCTTCGATTGTGATATATTCACCTCCGTTACCTCACTTTGGAATCTTCCTACCAAGAAACACATTTTTACCGTAGTCTTGAGTTCATTATCTACCCACCATTTATAAAGGATAGTTTATACTTCCCTTCCACCAAAAGCAAAAAGCTTAAGGCTGTGGTTATAGCTCAGTAGTAGAGCACTTGCCTCGTGTGCATGACCTAGGTTTTATCTCCAGCCCTAAAATGAAAGTCTTATAATTTCTACAGTACAATGTGCAGGTGTAAAGCCTTACGGGGGATGCACAGGTGGGTTAATGCCCTAAAAGGCTGTACTTCTTCCCTCCCTACACTCTGGCCACAAACGGTCATACCTGCAAGGTACTTTCACTCAGTTTCCTTTTAACAGTCAGTTCCTGGTTTGTCAATGCTTTTGTTGGTAAAATCATTCCCATGGTAAATTCTACAAAGAGACATGAGGAAAGAGTTTTAGAAACGTCTATTTTATGTGAAGCAAAAAAAAAAAACAAAGCAGAAACCAAAAACAGTATGAATAAAAAAAGTATCAAAATAATTCCTATACCATACTGAGAATCTATAACTTTCCTTATAAAACCGATCCTTTACATGAATTCCACAGAATCTAAAGCCTTTTATGCTTTTCCTTTTCAATTGCCTCATTATATCATGTCCTAAAAACCAGAATATTTGTTAAAAGCTCTTTTCCAAATAGCTATATTCGATATGACTGCTAGCAGCGCTGTGCCCCTCCCCCACTCCCAACACTAAGGCACCCTCATGGGCCACCACCTCAAGGGCGTCTTCCAGGCTTCAAGCCTGTGAGCCCGCAAATGTGCCATCTCGGGCAAAAGGCAAGGGCAACAGCCCCAAACCTGGAGATTCAGCAGACAGAGGCCAAGGGGCAGGGGCAGGATAAAGCTCTGCCAGGCACTGCGCCTGGCTGGCAACCTTCCTAATTTAGAAGGTGATGACCTCACTTCCATGCCCTGCAGGGGTTATCTGGGTGTATTTTAGCTATCACTGTGATACTTGCAGTCATTTTCATTCATACATTCATTCACCCAACGAAGACCGATTAAGCACCTACTCTGTGCCAGGCATTGTGCTAGATGTTGGAGGAAGAGCAGTGAACAAGACAGACACCTTCCATGCCCGCACAGCGCTTACAGTCTAGCAGAGAAGACAGACATTCAACAGGGCGTTATGCAAACCACTGACTAAGTGACTTCCACTCCAGAAAACTGCTCATGATGCTGTAGACACAATGGTTCACGCTCTGCACGACCCTAATGACCACTAAACGCGGCCTTACCCAGGACTAGCCTTCAACATCCGCACTACACCGTAGGCTGCAGTGTGAAGGGCGATTCTGGAGCCTAACCTGGGAATCCAGAACACAGTCCAGAGCATAACTTGGGCAAATAGGAAAGGGACCCTCTGGGCCACAGGGGATGGTGCCTTCTTTACCCGTCTTAAGTGCCTTCAGGTAATCTCCAAGGGCCTCCCTGACCTTGGCGGTGCCTGCAGTTTTCATAAGATCCTTCAGTATTTCCCCATCTCCTTTCTTTTTACTCACGTTCACCTACAAATCAGAAAAACACAAACCTAAGAAAAATCTGGTTCAATGTGTTACACATTTGGCCACAGAGAGGGAGGCGCTGACGGGGAGGGAAGCAGCTGCCCGAGACCTGACTGCTTTCTTCCGTGAGGAGCCAGAGATAAGGGAAGGCTGGTGATCAGGGTGCGCTGACCGAGGCGGCCAAGTGCAGCTCGGGATGCAAACCCCTCCACTTGCGTCAAAACCATGAGCGTGTCGGAACTACAGTGCGGGTGTGGACCAGGGCCGGAAACCTACTGTCTGGCGTGGTGGCCACTCGCCACGTGGGGTCGCTGCACCCTGGAAATGTGCCTGGTGTAAATTGAGTTCAGTAATACACACCAGACCCCAAAGACTCAGTACCGAAAACAGAACACAAAGTATCTTATTGAAAACATTTATACTAGTAATATACTAAGACAGCTCCACATATTGGCTTAGATAAAACTCTGTTGAAAGTATTTCACTTGTTTTTTAATACGGTTATTAAAATTTTTAAATTACATGTGTGGCTTGTACCATGCTGTACAGCACTAGTGCTGCACAACCCAAAGCATGATGATTAGGAAATCAAGTTCCCAGGCATCCTGGCCTGGGCTAGACTGCCGGCAGGGAGGCGAGCTGGGCGAGGGAGCACAGGGCCGCAGCACAGCGCTCGGCGCACAGCAGAGGTGCCGCCTTGAACCGCTTAGGGTCCCAGGGATTTAGCTGAGCTCAGCCTGACCCCAGACCCCACTTGAACCTGGAGTTTGTTCTGTAATGCCGCTGAAGAAACGGAACCTAAAAGACCTCATTAACTGCTGTTAGAAAGCTGCTCAGCCAGTGACGGGAACACAGCCCCTCAGGGCAGCAACCACAGGTCTGAAAGATGCAGCCGGGACAGCCTCACCTCGATGGCTTTGGTAACCTTCAAACAGCAAGTCACAAGACATGCCGCTCAGGAGGATTTCATCCTTACCTCTCAGGATGCCTCCATGCTGGATACACTCACAAGTCAACGAAGACCCTTTACTTAACTCTCTTGATTGCTGTACAAATGGTCTCCGCCCAGAGCCACACTTTCAGCAAAAATAGTCCACTAACTAACTGCAAACCAGACATGGGGCTGCACTGGCTCCATTCCCCAGGGACAGTCAGAAGCAAGCGCACTGTTGGTTTATGAAAAAAGTCATGACACGTAACCAAGGCAGAGCACAGCTACAGCTGAGAATTGTCACTATTTAAAGGGAAACAGCCAAAGTACAGGGGAAGGGAAAACAAAATCACATTCAGCAAGCCATGCCAGCGGCAGAAGCAATTCACAGTACATACACTCACACGTCACCTGGTGACACCGGGCTAACCCCACCTCACACGAGGAGGCCACCGAGGGTACGGTCACCCGCTCGGACCCTTCCTGCTCTTCCTACCACTCGGCTTTCTGGCCCAGGCTGCCCCTCAGTGCAGTGACCCCTCCACGCCCACCAAACTATCGCACGAGAAGCACAGTCTGAAAAGTGTTTGAATGCCCGCCTGTAGCAGAAGCTTATTAATACAGCAAAAAGAAAACTCCAACCAATACCTCAGTGTCATCCACTTCGTTTTCTTCAGAAAGGTTGGGTATTTCAATCAATCCCTTGTGCTTTGCACCAGATTCTTTAATTGTACCTAAAAATGAACAAAATAGTCCTTCAATTTAAAAAAATTAATAAACTGGTTTTGTGCAAAACTGCCCTGAAAAAAAAAAAAAAAAACTGCCCTGCATAACTGAACAGCCCACACGGGGTCCCACCTCTGTCACAGGGCTGTGGCCATCTCTGAGAGAAGGCGCCAATACGGGGATGGGACGAGCCAGGGTGGCACAGGGAAGTCAGGACTGGCCATCCTGACGGGATAAGGGCAAGACAGAAAGCTCAGACCCTGGAGGGCACGGGCAGCAGGAATCAGCGGCGCAGTGAACTGCAGGTGCACTCCAAGCACCCCGACTCCTTTCCAGACTTCAGCATGGCCACCGGGACGCACCGCTAGGACACAGCAGGGGGCCAGCAGGCCTTGCATCAGGCTTTGCCCGGGTCTTCTTTGTTTTGTTCTAATTTTACATCACTCTATTATACCAATCCGCTATAAAAGATTTAGTGAAGCTCAAAATGAGTTCTGGGCTCATGGGTCAAGCAACTAGACCATCATTCGGCAATCAGACAGCGGAGAACACGCTGGGACCCCGCACTGCCACAGTGCACTGGGGAAAGGGTTAAGATACACAGCAGGAAGCATCCGCCCTGGCTCGGAGGTCAAGGAGCTGCCCACGGCTTATTTTCCAATGACCACAATGTGGAGCAATTTCAGCAGCCTTTTTCTGGGTGCAGGGAGTGCGGGGTGGGGGGGGGGTGTGCAACAAATAAATTTAATTCAAGACTGATGACAATTCTCTGGAGCTAGCTCCTATGGAATTGAAGAAGAAAACGTTTTTTAAAAACAGGTTTACAGGTTACATTTATCTTTCACTAGAACCACCTGTGATGCCCAGAAAACTTCAGGACAGTCCCCGGCGGGCATGTGGGCGCCCAGCTTCTCCTTATCAGTCAGGCTTTGGTGTGACGCCCACCCTCTCCTTTTCAGTAAATGAAGCACCAGCGAAACCCCCAAGTTAGTAACCCTCAGCTCTCCAGGGTCAGGAGCCGCCTGCCCAGTTTGGGCTGCGAGTCCTCTTCTACTCCCCGCTCCCTGGTTCTCTGCAGGGACGAGGTGCAGACCAAAGGCTGCGCGAACACGGGAGGAGCCAGGTCTCCTGCAGCTCAGCCTGAGATGCCTGCAGACGCGGCAGCGGGAGGTGCACAAGAGTGGCACGGAGGGCAGGGGCCTCCAGGACAACACCCCAACCTGCTTTCCTTCTTGGCCTTGTCCTGGACACCCACGGCTTCCGTGGCTTTATGGCAGTCTGGTCTCTTCATTCTCCAGAACCAGATGGGCTGGACAGGCTTCAAGTTCTCGCCCAATTCATGACAACAGGAATTCAGACTGCAGAAGCAGCTCCACGATGGCCTCTTCAGAGAGCCCCTCTAGATGACTGACCAGGCTGCCATTCCCTTGCAGACATGGGGAGCTATGTCTTTAGTCCAGAAGGGCAGAATGGCCAAGTGTCGGGGTGCACACCTGTAATCCCAGCACTTGAAAGGCTGAGGCAGGAGGATCATTTTAAGTTCAAGGTCGGCCTCGATTACACAGTGAGTTCAAACCCATGAACTACATAGTGAGATCCTGTCTCAAAACAAAACTAAACAAAAAACCCAGAAGGGCAGGATGGGTCTTATCTTGCAAAGAAACTCACTGTTGCTTTGAGCTAAGGGAGACAGGAGACAGAGCAGGTTTCCCCGGGCCACAGAGCCCTGTCCTGAGGAAGACAGTGGGCAGCCAGATTCTTGCTACAATGCAGCCAGCAGCCACAAAGAGGGAACACCAAGAGCAAATCCCTCGCTGGGAGTTCTGTCGCCAGAAAGGGGTGATCACGGTTTTGCTGAACACCTGCCTGGGCTCTGGTCTGGCTCCCAGACAGAACAAGGGCAGAGACCAAGGCCAGACTCCCTAACAGACTCCCCAGAAAGGAGCTGCCTCCAGGGACGAGGCCCAGCCCTTCACACAGCACAGTGGTCCCCAGGCTCACCGTCTCCTCCTGTTTCTTTCCCTGTTTCTCCCTCCTTGGTTATTTCAACAAGTATCTGCTAGGCATCTACTGTCTTCCCCACCAGGAGCTAATACCATAAAACTCAGCCAAAGACCCCAACAGGAAACTAGCTGAAATGCCATTAACTGATGGATGGATAAATACAATGTAGCATAGCCACACAACAGACTATTAATCAGATGTAAAAATGAACAAAATACTGATATCTGTTAAACATGCATAAACCGCAGCAGCGGGAGAAGCCAGTCCTCAGATGCTACACAATGTTCAGCAGGAACCCGCCTGCACGTCCACGCGGACAAATGTGGACTATCGGCTTCCAGGGGTTTATGATGCTGGGAAAGAGAAGTGACTGCTAAGGGGAGAGTTTCTTTCTGGGGTGACACTTAGAAATGTTCTACACTGGGGCTGGAGGTTTAGCTCAGTGGCATAAGCGCCTGCCTTGCAAGCAGGCAGTCATGAGTTCGATCCCCGGTACCGATAAAAAGGAAAAAGACAAAAAAAAAAAGAAATGTTCTACACTGCCTCCGTAGCACCACTGTAGGCAGCACACCAATCTCATAATCTGAAGAAATGTTCTAAAACTCACTAGGGTGCTGGCTGGAGAACTCTGAAAAACCCTGAATTATACATCCTAAAGGTGTATGAATTATAGCTCCATAATGTTACTAAAAAAAAAAAAAAAATCCCTGCCCTGATGCATGAGTGGAAGGGAGGAGGATGAGGACAGCAAAAAAACCTTTTAGAAAACCATCCACAGTATCAAGTTCTAACACTCTGAGTAAAACAGAAGTAGGAAGGGGAACAGCACAAAGAAAGGTCTGCAATTAGATACAAGAGGGAGGAGACGCTCCACAGGCGGTAAGAACAGGAGGAAGAGGGCACACACCTGTAACCTCAGCATCCAGTGGGCTGAGGCAGGAGGATCGCTGCAAGCTCAGGGGCAGCCAGGGCTACATAGTAAACTCAAGGCCAGCCTGAACTGCACACAAAGGCCCTGTCTCAAAGAAAAAGAACCATGCGGAGGCACCAGCTCCCCAGACCCCACTTCACAGGCAGTGGGGAAAGTGGCCCGGCTGAGCGCACCAAGCTCCAAGCCCCTGAGTGGTGGGAGAAAGGGGAGCTCCAGAACCAATGCCAAGTGCATCTGAGTGTCAAGAACTACTAATACCAACTCTGCGGCCTGTCACTGCCACGCCCATGGCAGGAGTCCTAAAAATATTTACTGAATGAATGAACTGACTGCCCAGCAGCTCTCAGCCCCACCATACCCCCGACACCGTTACCTTTCCAGCCCAGCTTGATGTTCCACTCATAGAAGAAAATCAGCTTTCCTTTGCGGCTGCTGCAAGAAGCCTCCCCTTCCACCTGCTTCAGCTCACTGGTCTCACAGCGGCCAGCCTCATTCTCCACAACAATGCCCACCAAGACCTCTTGGAGCTTCGCCTTGGACCAGCTGGTGGCATCCCGTTCCGTCCTGCGGGAATCCAGAAGGCCAAAGTGCTCACTGGTAACCCCAGTCCAGCCCACACCAGCCCAGGTCCCCTCACACCGCCTCCACAGCCCTGCCCTTCACTCACAAAGTGCTCCTCCAACTACCTTTCACCAAACACCCATTCACTCTCCTCCCTGCTCTGTTCAACACGTAAGTATCCACCATGCAAGGTTAGATTTTGTCTCAAAAACAATGGCTTACTTGGGGAAGGAAGGTCTACCAATCTCACCTTTGGAAAAGGATGGGCATATGTGATGGTGGTAATAATTAAAATAATGTTAATCACGACAATGGCAATTGTCATGCGTTTCACACATGCATTAACTCACGCAATCTGCCCAAGTACTGTCATACTGTATTCCTGTCTAGGGGACAAAAGCAGACAAATCGGGCGGGAGACGTGAGTGCCCTGACCATAGAAACAGACCGAGGACACTAGAGCCAATCGCGGCTGCTGCCCTGGCTCAGCCTTGCGCCCTTCCTCAGCATCCGCCCCACGGCCTTGAGGCGCCCCAGCCCTGCAGGCACAGCGCACTCCTTTGAGGATGAGGGGGTGCGAGGCGAACCTCATCCTTTGCTCCTGAAGGCTACAAAGCGCACGGACAGCGAGCTCGACTTGGAGAACGCAGGGCTGGCGGGAGGCCTGCACGTCAGGGACGGGGGTGGGACCCCAATTCCTGCGCTCTCCACTCCATGCCCAAAGATGCCCCCGCGCGCGCACGGCTCCTGGCTCCCCTTTCACTCCCAGAGACGTCAAGAGGGCTGGTTCGGGGCGGGGGACCTACGGTCACGGCTGTGGGGGCTGAAAGGCCAGAAGCACCCCGCGGCCCAGCCCAACTTCCAGGGGACCCGCAGCCCGGGTGCCGGCGGGCGCGCCGCCCCCTCCCCGCCGCGGCCCTCGCGCCGCCCCGACCCGGCGGCCCGTCTGTCCCCGCCGCGTGGCCCGGGAGGCGGCCCGGAGGCGGAGGCCGCCGCGCGCACCAGTGCCAGTTGTTCACGTTGGTCGCGTCCTCGCGCTCCTCCACGATCCAGCGCGGGTCGCCCTGGCCCCACTTGGCCATGGCGGCGCGAGAACAAGGGCGAGCGGCGGCGGCGTCCCGGCCGCGCTTCCGGCTCGGCGCCCCGCGCAGCGCGCTCGCGGCGCCCAGAAAGTACCAGAAGTGCCCGCCCCCGGCCCCGCCCCGCGCCGCGCCGGGCGCGCGGGAGCCGCAGGAGGAGGCCGGCGGCCGGGTCCCCGCCGGCGTCGGGGGCGCGGCGCGGGGCGGGGCGGGGCGCGCAGCTGCTGGGGCGCGGGGCGGGCGCCGCCTGCCGCCTGCCGCCTGCCGCCTGGCGGGGAGCCCGGCCGGACACCGCCCGCGGGGCGCGCTCCCGCCTCCCCGGGCCCCGCGTGGCCGCGCCCGGGCTGAGCCTTCGCTTCTGGCCGCGGCAGCTCCGGCCGGGGAGCGAGCGCCGCGCGGCGCCTTCAGAAAGGGCGTCTCATTCCAGATCCGCTAGCGGTAACGCCAGGGGGCGGTCACACGCCCGAGTGGGGCGGCCTGCAGCGCTCTGCGAGTCGGAGGACTGCAGGATCCCTTTCGCGGGTTGCCCTGGCTCCTTGGAAAATGTTACAGAGTATGCGTGGGTTTATTAAGCAGAGACAACGAGGGGACAGTGGAAGGCTGGCGTCCCTGACGGTTCGCTCGGCCTGTGCTGCTCTGCCCTGTCCTGTGCTCTGTGCTCTGTGCTCCTTCGTGAAGAAATGGGCGAAGAACGATTTCCCCATGTGCCACCTGGAGCTATGGCATTCCAGCATCTTCCAAAAAAGGACACCAGTTGTGCGTCGTGCCTCTTTACAGTGCTTTGAAACCGGAAGAAAATGACGTTGTAACTTCTTCCACACTTTGCCAGTGTGGACCACTAACCTGTGGTACTGGGGAAGAGCTGATGCGCAATCAGCGGGCGCCATTGTGTTGTGGGTTAGCTGCGCACCGTTTGCCCAGTTCAGAAAGAATGTTACTGATGGAACCCTGGATAGTAAGTGTTGGATACGATCATAGAACACTTTTTTTTTTTTTGGTCTTTTTGAGACGGGGTCTCGCTATGCAGTTTAGGCTGGCCTTCAGCTCACTTTGTAGCCCAGGCTTTTCCCGAACTCGCAATGATCCTCCTGCCTCAGCCTCTCTAGTGCTGGGATTACGGGCATGAGCCATCCCGCCCGGCGGATCATAAAACATTTAAAGGCAAAAGTATAATCACTAAAATGTATGGAACAAACATATTATTTATAAGAAAATTGATCACAGCGAAAATTACATTAGAATGTACTCCCCACCACCGAGGACTGAACCCAGGGCCTTCACACAGCTACATCTGCAGCCCTTTTCTACTTTTCTTCCTTTTTTCTTCTTCTTCTTCTTTTTTGACAGTTGGCTGGGCTGGAACTTGTGATCATACTGCCTCACTTCCCAGAATGCTGGGACTCTAGGCATGCACCACCACCGATCATCTAAACTGTATTCATTTCATTAATGTAAATGAAAAACATTTTATGTAGCTGATTGATCAAAAATTAAATTGGATGAGCACATCTGTAATCCTATAAAGGAGGCTGAGGCAGGAGGTCACAAATTTAGGGCCAGCTTGAGCAGTTTTTCCAAGATGTCTCAAATTAAAATTTAAAAAGTTGAAAGGGCCAAGAACTCGGTGCTCCCTGGCTCCAGGCGCAGCTCCGTCTCACACACACACACACACACACACACACACACACACACACACACACTCCTAACAATATTTAATCATGAAAATAGTTTCAGTCAAATGTGCTGTTTAGATTTGAGACAATGGACAATTGGACAATCGTAGGTGACATCATGCTCGCCCTGTAGCCAGGGTGATGACACTGGCAGACTTTGGGGTAAGTAATACAAAATGCTCTGTTTTTTTCCCATAACCAATCTGTACTGGGTTAAACTCAAGACAGTGTATCCTCCCCTAATGTCACCCTCCACAGGTTAGAGAAAGCAGCCCCAAGGGGGCTGGGGATTTAGCTCAGCGGCATAAGCGCCTACCTTGCAAACGGGCAGCCGTGAGTTTGATTCCTGGTACCGATAAAAACGAAAAAGACCACAAGAAAAAAAAAAAAAAAAAAGAAAGCAGCCTCGACTTCTGTTTCCAGGATTTGCTTTGAGCAGGGCGCTCACTAGACAGTTAGAACCGGAACTGCTCCCCCAGCTGCCGTGCTTCTGTTTGGAGGAAGTCACTGTCCCCTTCTGTTACCCTGCTGCCCATTCCTCACTTAAACTGCATTTCTGCTTACTGAGCTGCCAGTATGCACAGCCGCCAAGGGAACCCCGCTGTGGTGGCCAGCCTGGTCTCAGGCTGCCGTCTGCACAGGGTGCTGGCTGAGGGACAGCGTTTGTTCTTCCTCCCCGTTATCCGCCCACTGGAGGTGGGCCAGCTACCCAGCGGCACCCGGGAAATCTCTGATGTGATGACTGGCGAAATAAAGAGTGACTGTCTCTCAGACTCGTGTAAAATCTATTAAGGATTTTCCCCTACAGTACTGGGGATTGAACCCAGCAGCACCTTAGCACTGAGCTACATCCCACCCTACCCTACTTTTTTTTTATAGACAGGGTCTCACTCTGTAGTTCAGGCTGGCATTGAATTCGCTATGTAGCCCAGGCTGGCCTCAAACCTGACTTCTGCTGTCATTTTCATCTTAACGACATTTTTATCTTAAACATGGAATCCTGTTTAAATGGTCAGTGTGGTTAAGGTGAATACTGCGAAATCACCGAGGCAGTGCATATGTGCTGGCATCATTTCCAGTCGTGATATCTTATGGTTACGAAGTTCCATTTTTTTGGTTTTTTTCTTTAAGCTTAAAACCACTGCTGGTAGCAAACACCAAGTACAGGAGTTGACAAGTGACTCTTCAGCTGTTTTGCACAACATGAGTCCCCCATGCCTGGGGCTTTGAAGAGATAAATAAAAGTGTGGGTACACTGGCACCAGAGAGCGAAAGGCTGTGCAAGGAGGCCTGGCCTTGCCAGGGGCAGACTCTCAAAGATGGAAACAGAGCAGCTCGCTCCGGGCGGAAAAGAGCAACGCTGGCCAAAGCGTGAAGGTCGGCAATGGAACCAGTTAGAAGGCAGGATGGACACAAACAGGCAGGAAGGTCCTGAGGACGTGGAAGAGGCTGTGAGGAGCACGCAGTGTAGGACCAGCGTGAAGATGGCAGGCAGCAGCAGAGGCTCCGGCTCCCCCAGCGGTGCCAGCACCCAGGACCCCGCTCTGGTCCTCCATTCACAGGCTGAGTGACCGTGAGCCATCAGAGTATTCCTCCCGCAAAGTGGAGGGCATCGTGAGCCCGAGGACAGGAAGCATGAATGTAGGAAAGTTGTCTGCCCTGCATTTCCCTAAGAGCCGGACACAGATTTACGAAGACAGCAGGTCTCCAGTCCCCTTCTACCCGGAGCGCAAGCTTAAGCCCTTGAGAGAACCTGGGTGCCTCGCTGGCGCAGGGGCTGCAGGAAGCTTCACCAGGTGCTGCTGTGTGGCAGCTTCTGACCCTCGGCCTGCACCCCAGCGTGGATGTTCCCACTTCCTGGGGTGCGTGGAGAGAGGGGCTCGGGAGCAAGGGGGCGGCTCCCAAGCTCACAGGCTGGAGGGCTAGGTGGGGACAGCAGTGATGGGGGCACAGAGGGACACACACTCTGAGAGCGTGGGTGAGCGCAGCCCTAAGGCCGACCCCACACTGGTAACCTTCACTGCCCCTCACTCACTGGAAAAGGCCGGGAAGGACCGAGTCACACAGAGAAGTGGGCGCGGCCACCACAAGGCCTGGCTGTGACTCCTTACCTCTCACCGGGATCTGGAGGATTCTGATTCTACAGACACCAACAAGAAGCCACTCAACCAACCATGCTGGGGAGCTTGGCATTCTCCTTGTTTGTTTGATTTGGGGGGCTTTTGTTTCTTTTTTTTTCCCCTTTGCTTTTCATTTTCCTTCCCAGACACGGTCTTGAATTCACAGCAAGCCTGTTTCCTCAGCCTCGCAAGTCCCGGGATCCCCGGCGCGCACCACCACGGCCCCTTCTTAGTTCTGTTAACTTTCTGTTACTCTCGAGCTCACGTGTCTCTCCTCCTTCTTCAGTGTCTTTAATTTTTCCCCTTTTCCCAGTGCCTCCATTTTCATTATATTGCTCTTAAGCCTTATTAATTTCTAGCTACTTAGTTGACTTTGTTGTCGTTACTAATGAGTTCTTTTTTTAAGAGCATCACAGAAATGAGGCAGAGAAGATTTGATTGAAAACTGATATTATTGATAGTATCAAGTCAGAGTATAGGCAACTACACTGAAGACGACAAGACTCTATGATACACATTCTGGATTGATAACTGCCGGTTTTTGAAGTTCTATACTATATACAAGGTTCTGTTTTTATTAATACTGTATGTACTGATAAACTCAATTATACTATGTCTGATGATTTAGCCAATTCTATTGGAGATAACAAGAGACAACACAGGAACCATGGTAGAACTCTTTGTACAATGGTCTTATATGTTTTTTTTTTGTTTCATGTGTTTCTAGGAATATGTTTTGTTTTGTCTTGCTTTGTTTTGTTTCTCCCTCTAACATAGAAAGGATAGAAATACATGTTAAGACTCATGCATGTGTAGAATCTATAAACAGTTTATGAAAACCTGATCTTATGACACATGATGAAATGAACAGATACTTGGAAGAAAAAGAGACACTAAGGTTCCCAGTGCTGATCCTGGAGGGTCATAATGAAATCCAGCAGTAGTTTTATTCTTTGTTCAGAGTGATATTAGCCTGCTTGAGTTTGTTCAATCTCAACATAATTGAAGATATGGATTAACTGCATGTATGTTTAAGTGTATAGGATTGATAACTATATTTCTAAGTTTTTGTTGGATAGTTGAACAGAACTGGTTGCACTCTCACTGTTTGAATCCCCACTTTATATGCTCCACTTTAGTATCTTGAATAACTATTTGTAAGAAGACAATCTGTAATCATCAACTAGTGATCTCTTACTGTTTATTTTTTTCTTTGAAATTATGTATTATTTCTACCCGTTTTCTGTTTTATTTAGACTTTCTTTAAATTAAATTAAAAAAAAAAGACACTACAGTATCCAGTGCTGATCATGGAGTGTCATGATGTGAAATCTGGCAATACTTTGTTCAGATTTTAACCTGCTTTAGTTTGTTTAATCTAAACATAAATGAGGATATAGATTAGATCCCAGGTACCGATAAAAAGGAAAAAGACAAAAAAAAAATGATGATATGGATACCTGCATGTATGTTTAAGTGTATAGGATTGACAACCATGTTACCAAGTTTTTGTTGGACAGTTGAACAGAGCTGTTTGCAGTCTCGCTGTTTGAATTCCCACTTTACATGTTCCATTTTTGTACCTTGAACAAGTATTTGTAAAATGACAGTATGTAAACATCAACTAGTGATTTCTTACTGTTTATTTTTTTCTCTGTATGTATTATTTCTACATATTTTCTGTTTTGTTTAGTCTTTCTTTAAATAAATTTTTTAAAAAATGAGTTCTTTTTTACTGTTAATGGTGGTATAGTTGTTGTGTTTGGCAGAGATTTTCTATATGTTAGTATTTTCTGTGATTCTGTATTTTTTTTTCTATACGTTTTCTTTAGTGATGTGATTCTGTATTATTATAAATGTCTTTTCTATTGCTAAGGGTGATATAGTTGTAGCTTTTATTGGTTTTTATGGTGTATCAATATCCAGTTTGTTTTACACTGTCTTAAAAGTGCCCTTGTTGGCGGGGGAATGCCCCTTTAATATAATTTACCCAACAAATATCTGCACCAAAATACAAAACTTTATTTTACATGTTTGGACAGTGAGTAGGCAAAGTATTATCATTTATTGAACTCAGATTTCCGTTTTTTAAAAACTATACTCAAGCTCTTGAGTATTTCACTTACAAAATTCCGCAGGTGGCACACTTGTTCCTGCCCAAAGATCTGCATTTGCTTAATTCTATTCTTGTCTTTTGCTGTTTGACAGACTTAGTACCCTCACTCACTCCATTGTTAGTCAACAGTTCCATGTCTCTTTTTATCTTTTGCGTTTTGTGCTTCTTGTTCTTTCTTTATGTTTTATAGTGTATCTGTGAGGTGCAGGGTGTTCGTTCCCCAGATCCACAACAATTACCTCCTTAGAAAACGTCACTCCTTTTAAGGGTCTTTTTTGGCTTTCAGTAACTGAAGATCTGAGTGTTTTATTAAAATTGTCACCCTGTAAGAGAATGGGATACAGCAAAAGTGATTAGTTTATGAGCATAACAAGCCCTGCTTTTAAAAAGTATACATTCTATGTACATTGTAAACTAGAAACAAAGGAATACTATGTTTCTAACTGATATAGGAAAGCAACATTGTCACCACATTCAAATGTTTCTGTAGCTGTAAAAGCCTAAATTGACACAGTCAAATATTACTTGACCACAGGTGTTAGTCTCTGTAAAGGAGTCTAAGCCAACAGCCACATGGCCCACTGCTGCTTGTCTTGGGTGGGCTCTGGCTGTGTGGGGAGGGCTGGTGCCTGTGGTCATCTAGGGCCTTGGACACAAGCGTATGGAGGTGCTGACAGTGTTTGTGTGGCACTGGGACAGAGGTGTCAGAGCAGGGACATGGAGGATGGCCCTGAGCGCTGCCTCAGTGAAGAGTTAAAAATCTCTCATTTTCTAGCTGAGAAATTTGTATCACTAGGTGACCTATGAGTTCTCTGATAGCTCCAAGATCCCAGGAGTCTGAGAGAAACAAAAGCAGGGGAAATTATTAATAAACTAAAATGTAAGAATAAAGAATGAGCACATGACCAGGCTTGGCACACATAGCTGGTTTTACACTCTAAGGCTTAGAAAAATGGCTTAAATGACTGGACCCCGGACTCTTCTGGTACAAACTTCACTTACAGATGACGTCACCCCTAGTGAGTAATTTTCCTGCTTCACAGTTAAATGAAGCTATAACCGACTTTGTGAAAGTAGAAAAGCACCCACCTTTTGATTCACTTCTCCAGCCTGCCTGCCTTTTGTTTTGTCCTCTTGCTCTGTCTCCGTGTCCTCTGTGCTTCCTAAGGATGTGTCCTTATTCTGTCTCTGGACAAGGATGCCAGGCCTCACTGGTTCATCTGAGTCCATGATTTGCACTATGATCCTGGAAAGTCAATCCGCAGACATTTAAAACCCATGCATACGAGTTAGCATTATCACCCAAAAGGGGCTTCCTGCCGCATCTCCAGGTACACACTTTTCGTGGTCTCCTGCATCGTATGTCTCCTCATCAGCAGCTGAAGGTGAACAGTCGGCACCTCCATCTGCACAAGGACTCTTTCCCGTCACTTCATCTTTTTTGTCTTGGAAACTGCAAACAAACACCAACAATTCAGAACAGGGAGAGTTCCCCTCTTTCTAAGGTGTGCAGTGGGAAGCTCACTTTTAAACGGGAAATTAGCACTTTTAAAGCTCTGAAATGGAAAAAGTAGGTAGCTGCTGTTACTTGTTCTGTGTTAAATTAATTCTAGGTACATTTCCATCTTATCAGCATGCGCTTATACCATTTATATATAAAAAACGCCAGTAAAAGGAAGATGCAGATGAAACAAAGTAGAAAGATGATGAAGAAAGTGACTGTGGCACTTTCAAAGCTCTGACTAGCATCTAAAGGCGTGTCCATTCTGAGATTGTCCGAATAGTCTTTTCCAGCTCAGCTTGAAGTTTTCTAGAAACAGAAGAATAGAAGGCTGTTTTCAGGGCTGCTGCCCTGAGCGGGTGAACTTCCTGAAGACCCCCCTCCCATTTCGGTGCAGGTGACTCACGTGGCTAATTTTTCTCCATCAATGTGGTGGGGGCTGAGGTGGCCAGCCAGAGGGGAGACAGAGCTGGGTCGCGGTGATCACTCAGGTCACCTCCCCTCACCCCAAAAACCATAGGAATCCAGAGGAGAGGGGAATGGCAGCAGCTGGAGCCCATCCTCCTCTCTTCAGTGACATCACAGAATCATAGAACTGTGCAGTTAGAGAGACCACAGAGAACCACCAGCTGCTCCTCTGTGCTGTCGCTTACCTGTCTGTCTTCTGAAAGGTCCAGGGTGGAAGCCAGTGTCTAGGCCGTCCCTTGGATAAGGGTTTTCTTTCTACTTTCTAACACCAGCCTTCCTTTCCCGATCTGAGCCTAGCTCTTTGTTGCTTCCTTAACAGATTCGAGCAATGAGTCCTCATCCTTCTTACGACAGCCCTCTCCGTAGCCAGACGTCAGTCATCAGCTCTGCGGACGGTGTTATCTCCCACCTCGAGAGCCCATGTGCTTCTCATTCATCTCACGGATCTTCTTCCTGGACACACAAGGAAACTGGCAGTTCTAAAGGGTTGACGGAGCAGGAGTTGAATGAGATGATCAGACCAAAGATGAATACTGGCCCCAACCTAACTCCAGGTAAGAGCTGGTGACCCAGCAGGCGAGGGAGGAGGGAGAGCTCGGATTATCTTACACACTGAAACCTCCAGCCTAAATATGAGACTGGGGGAGGTGGGGAAGGGAGTGATAGGAGGGGTGATAAAGTAAACCAAGGACAGGTAAATAAAGTCTGTTAGTAATCACACAGTGGAACCAAATGTGGCCATAAAAAGAAGTAAATTTATGGACATGGTGGCTCATGCCTGTTACCCCAGCACTCCAGGGCTGAGCCATTAGGATTGCTGTGAGTCTGAGACCAGCTTGGGCTACAAAGTGAGCTCAAGGCCAGCCTGAACTGCAGAGTGAGAACCTGTTTAAAAAGACAAAAAAAAAAAGTAAACTACAGCTGCATGTGTCGATGTGTATGAATTTTAGGAATACCCCTTAAGAGAAAAAAGAAGAAAAATAAATATATATGGTACTATTTTTACCAATTCTATTAAACCATAAAAAAATTACTTGGGTGATGAAATGATATAGACAAGACAATGATTTAAGAAACTCATTGGAATGAGGAACATGATACAAAATAATTACAGTCTTCAAAAATGTCAAGGTGAAAGGCTTTGAACTTGTTCCAGATTGAAACAGACTAGAGAGACAAAACAACTAACTACAGATACAGTGCTGACTAAGTTGGATCTTTTGGCTATAAAGAACATAACTGGGACAATTCACAAAACTTAAATGTGGCCTCTCGGTTTATATGGAATTTTTTTCTACTATTCTTTGAATTAATGACCTCATACTTGCCAGGCAGGTGCTGGTGCCAGTGAGCTATATCCCTGGCCCTCCTGCAACTTGTATGTAAGTGTAGGATTGTTCCAAAATAAAAATTTATAGCCAGGTGCGGCAGTGCATGCCTGTAATTCCAGAGCTCAGGAGGCTGAGGCAAGAGGATTGCTGCAAGTTTGAGACCAGCCTGGGCTACAAAGAGTTCAAGGCCAACCTGAACTGCATAGCGAGACCCTGTCTCAAAAAGACAAAAAAAAAAAAAGTGTTCTATGATCCTATCCAACACTTACTGTCTAAGGTTCCATCAGTAACATTAAGCCTGAACTACATAATAAAACCCTGTCTCAAAAAAAAAAAGAGGGAGCTGGGGATTTAGCTCAGTGGCATAAACTCCTGCCTTGCAAGCAGGCAGTTGTGAGTTCAATCCCTGGTACCGATAAAAACAAAAAATACCAAAGAAAAAAAAAAAAAAAAAAAAACTCTGTTTTTTTCTTTATGGCACTTTTATTCATAATTGTCAAAATATGGAAGTAACCAAGGTGTCCCTCAGTAGCAAATAAATACACAAACTGGAACATCTTGACAATGGAATATTACCCAGCATTAACAATAACTGATAGATGGAAAGACAAAGCAATCTTGCCAAGGGTGGGCGCACACACCTATAATCCCAGCACTCAAGAGGCGGAGGATCCAAGTTCAAAACCGCCTGGCTAAGTAGCATTTGTCTTAAAACAAATGAACAAACAAAAGAACAAAAACAAAAGGAAATCTTAAATTATATTGCTGGGTAAAAGCTGTTGAAAGCTTCATGTTGTCTGATTCCAAATTACGGCATTTTAGAAAACTCTAAGCTATGGCGATGCCAGGAGATCTGTGGTTTCTAGGGAACGTGGGACAGGAGGGACAGATGGAAGACCAGGGATTTTTAGGGCAGTGAATCTATTCTGTATGATGCTGGCTTGGACAAATGACATCAAACATTTGCCAAAAACCACAGTATGGCTGGGCATGGGGGGTGCACGCCTGTAAGCCCAGCTACAAGGGAGGCTGGGGCCGGAAGATCCCAAGTTCAAAGACAGTCTGGGTAATTTAGTGAGATTCTGTCTCAAAAAAATAATAGTTTAAAATGCGCCTATCAGCTGGGCGTGGTGGCACACTCCTATTATCAGAGCACTCCGGAGGCTTAGGTAGGCAGATCGTTGCAAGTTTGAGCCAGGCGCCTGGGTTACAAAGTGAGCCTGGACTGCAGAGTGAGACTCTGTCGCAAAAAGACAGAAGAAGGGGCCTGGAGTTTAGCTCAGCAGCATAAACACCTTCTTGGCAAATGTGAGGTCACGAGTTCGATCCCCAGCACCAAAAAAAAAAAAATTGGCCTGTCCACCTGTGAGCTCAATCCCTAGTACTGTAAACAACACACAAAGAATGAAACCTGATGCAAAGAGCCTTTAGTTAATATTATATTAATATGGATTCATCAACTATAACATATACAACTCTCCTGCAAGATTTTTTTTTATACATTTAGCGTTTTACACTTTTTTTTTTTCTTTCTTTCTTTATTTTTTTTACCAGGACCGGGAATTGAACTCATGACCACCTGCCTGCAAGGCAGGTGCTTATGCCGCTGAGCTAAATCCCCAGCCCCTCCTGCAAGATGTTAATAGTAGAAGAAATCAGGAAAAGAGTACATGGTATCACTTTGTATTTTCTGTTCAACTTTTCTATAGACCTAAAACTGGTTTTATTTATTTTTTTATTTTGTTGGGTACCAGGAATTGAACTTAGGACCTCACACTTGCTTGAAACTGTTTTTTTGTTTTTGTTTTTGTTTTTTTGTCTTTTTCCTTTTTTATCAGTACCAGGGATTGAACTCACGACCACACACTTGTAAGGCAGGCGCTTAGGCCGCTGAGCTAAATCCCCAGCCCCTTGAAACTGGTTTTAAAAGTCTATTATTAAGTTGGAAGTATTGGCACACACCTGTAATCCCAACACTTGGGAGGCTGAGGCACCCCCTCTCAAAAACAAAAACAATAAAAAAAGAGATAAGGTCTTACTGTGAAGCCCAGGTTGGCCTTGAACTCGTGGCTATCCTCCTGCCTCAGGCTCGATTGCCGAGATTACAGCATGTGCCACATGGCTCTCAAGACTGTCTAAAAAAAAAAAATCTACTGGCCATTCATGGACTGAGGGGGAGAAGGACAAGAAGTCAGTAAGAAGCTAAGTCCTCCTGTGAGTGGGCAGCATGTGCGGGCTGCTAGGGGAGAGCCAGTGCCAGCCCCTTCCCGTTTGCAGGCAGGGAGACAGAAAGAGCCAACATTCTCCCCAGACCCCAGCCACAGGAGCCACCAGCTGATCCGGAGGAACACAGGCTGTGATGATGGCTAATGAGGCAAAACACAACTTAATGCTTGTAGTGTTTGGTGTTTCACTGACTTGGCAGGCCTAAAGCCGACAGTCTAATCATCTATTCAGAGGATAACAATACTCATCGCAGCATATATGGAGATCTTCTGAAAGTGGTGGCCATTGTTAATTCCCTATTAGCTTGTTTTGAAATCCTGTATCATTCTCATTTTCTGTTTGATTGGATTTTATTCTGTTTTATCTTGTTTGATGCTGTGTCAGATGGCATGGGCAGTTATTTTGAGAATAACAAGCTATATTATAGTAGCTATTTTGGATTTTTACTATTATCTTTTTTTTTTTTTTTTTGTCTGTTTCATTTTTATCGGTACCAGGGATCGAACTCACGACTGCCTGCTTGCAAGGCAGGTGCTTATGCCGCTGAGCTAAATCTTCAGCCCCCTTTACTATTATCCTCAAGTCCTGTATTGCATTCATTGTTTTGTTTTTATTGGTTCTATTTTATTTGTTTTGTTTGATTTTTACTATGTCTGAGGGTGTCTCGTACATAGTTGTTGAAGACAATAAGAGGCATTGTGGTAACCATTGTTGCTTTCCTATTATCTTGTTTTGAATTCTGTGTCACTTACATGCTCTTGTTTTGATTGGCTTTATTCTGTTTTACTTTGCTTGGTTTTATTCTCTCGAAAATAAAATTTTATTTTAATTTTTTTTTTTTTTTTTTTTTTTTTGGTACCAGGGATCGAACTCACAACTGCATGATTGCAAGGCAGGCTCTTATGCCACTGAGCTAAATCCCCAGCCCCTCAAAAATAAAAATTTTAAAAATCTATTAATTAAAAGAAAACTAAACCAAAACCAAACTGTTTCTGTAAGTACTTAATATAAGTCTGCTTCAGTGTTCCAAGGGACACTAAGATGGTAGGATGTGTACAGCAAAGCAGTGATGACACATATTAATTCTCTGTGGGTTCCCTGTCCTGCACACTGTCAGAGAGGGGAAGCGACATTACTATGTTTATGTCATATTATTTGGACAAAAGTGGGAAGGCAGAAAGTTTTTGTCTGCCTCTCAGTTGCCTTCAGATCAAAATAATATTTTAATGCTGATTAAGGTGGCATGGTTTGGAGTGATATATCCTGG